CCCTGGCTTGGCTCTGCACTTGACCGCAAGTGTGCCGTGAGCGATTCCTGCGTGGCCGTCGTTGTTTGACTTTGATCACGATCTTCTGTTGATGAGCAAGAAGCGCGTGGGCTGAATGCTTCTCGCACGGCGGCGGTCGCCTCATGCAGCCAAAGACTCCTGACTGACGACTGATGCTAATCAGAATCGGGAATCGTGAATGCGTGCAACGGCAACATGTCGTCGCTGGCCGAAGCTGTGCACAGGCGAGAAGTGATCCGCGGATTGCTTGATCCAAGATTAGCATTCACATTCGCGATTCGTGATTTGATCGGAAGGCCAGCTAGACTGCGCAATCCACGATCGTGCAGACAAGCTCGCTCAGCAGCAGTCTGAGAGAGTGAGTCACGATCAAGTGAGTGCATGCGTGCGCACGCAGCCAAATAACTCGTTCGTGACATCGATGCGACACTTTGAGTCATCAGTGGGCGCAGCCGATGAGTCGAAGTCTCTCTCACACCTTTGCACTGCTGGTTGCCCGGCCAGCAGTGGCGCGTGTTTATTGCAGCGTGTCTTGCACGCGCAACTAGCAGTCATTTTACAGCAGAGGGCAAAGTCTCGAATCCTGCCATGCGCCTCCTGCTGATGCTGCTAGAGCTGATATGATTGAGTCGCGGATGTTCCTCATGTTCACCTGACTTATACTCACTCACACCATGCTGAGACTTCTGCAAGCCCGACATTAACGATTCCAGCATGGCAGGTATAATAATAATAATAGCATCGCGCGCCCATTCGTGATCAGTGATTCGTGGGCAGCTGGACTTTGACTGCTTCAGATCTATGTGGCTGTTCTTGTACCATGCTTCATCTTGTCCCATCCATCTTGTCCGAAGGGATCGATCGAGGCGAGTCAACAGTCACGAGTAGCAGTCACATTTCCGTATGCGCGTTGTGATGATGGATTCGTTGATGCTATTGCGCATCTCGCGGCGCTGCATGGGGGCAGGGAAAGGCGGGACAGCGTCTCAAGTCTGACCACACATAATGTTCTCGACTTTCTTTAACCAAGCGCACGGACTTCAGCCAACAGTACAATCGTGAATCACAATCTTGAATCAAATCACGAGCACAGACTCAAGACTTTCTGCTGCCCGCCCGCCCCGCGAGCACGCGCGAGACGAAGCAGCCGTTCATCCGCCGCCGCGTTTGCACGCGTCGGTGTGACAAGAATTTTCAGC